TTTATTTAAAACTTATCAAATCATCCTTAATGGAGGATTTCCAGTATCCTTCCTTGAAGATATAAAACTTAATTTTATTGAAATTTTATATATTGCTCATTATTCAACTTCTTCCAAGTATTTTGATCGTATAACCGCTTCCTTCAATTATTTTTTCATTGACCTTCTTGAAATCTTGAAGTATTGTCACTTCAGTTTCTAAAATTGATCTTTTTTTATTTTTTTTATCTCAAATGTACTAATGATGCTTAGATTATCACATTGTTCTAGTGTTTCTTCCTTATAAAAAACTTCCCTTATTCATTAGGCCCAATAATTATTTAAGCTTGTGCATCCTAAGCCATGACTACTTAGAACACAAAAAATAAGGTTTGCATTACTCATAGTGTGCCTACATCTTCTAAGGTGCTTTGATTTTTTTAAACTTAATTTTCCATAAATTTCAAAATGAAACCTAGACAATGGTGGGTCTTACACTTAGTTTCAACATTTAGAACTAAGGTGTCCTGCGATGCCCCAATTATGGTGATGTGCCTTCATAGTATTATTCAATAGAACACAAATGCATAGCTACCAAATTTTGCACGTACGTAGTAAAAACATATAGCCCAAATCTACATATATGATATAATTATTAAGGTTTAATGTAGAGATTAATTCATAATATCCCTTTTTCATTGGATTTCAAAAGATATGCACTTTGGGAATACTAAGTAGAATAGTTGCCAATTAGATGATTCTTAAGAAGTAGCATACACAACTATTCAAAACTCATACACCTCCTAGGATATGTCACTTATCCCATTTAAACTCATTAGGATTAGTTTTTAGAGTAAATGATTTGTATTTGCATTTTTGAGCTCCTCTTGTTCTATAGTCTTAGATAATTAGTTTTTAAATAGCATATTTATATTAAAGATGTTCTTCAACTATCATCATTACTTTAATTAACTTGTGTGGTATAATTCATAGTATGCATGTGCTCTAGTAAGTAGTTCACATAGACATATGTGACAATGCATAAATTTTCTCCTTTCCAAGTTCTAGTCTGACAAGTCAACAATAATGAACCAAAGATTAACATGCTTGGATTTTCTTTTTTTTAATTATGAATAGGCATTTTATTGAGCAAATTATTCAAATCAACTAATATATACATTTTCAAAATTCTTATCTGTAAATGTAATTTAATCATCAAATATGACTATACTAGGGGTAACTTGTGCTTAAGTGACAAGTGATGGATTTGGAGGGGGGAGGGGGAGAGAAAATTCAATGTGAATGGTTTTGAGATGGATATTGGTGGCCATTGGATGAGACTATTTGAGATTGTCAGATAGGCTTATTGAAGCCTGCCTTATTTTATATTATAGATATATCTCTTTATATCATAATACACTACTACTAAGTAAGTAAAATATAAATTAATTAAGCAAACACACATTTTCATCAAAAAAGAGAAATTATATGTCATGTTGCCAATACTAAATATTTGGCCTTTGGCACCCAAAACATCATAGATCCTTTGGAATCCCTATTGTTCATTGAATTCTTATTTAATCTTCTAATATGGAAAGTGTATGAATAATGTCCAACCTTGTGACAATAATGACAAGAATTTGAAACATCGAATTTTGTCTCTTTTACAAAGAAATTTCGGTACACATTTTGTTTTTGAACATGGTTATGTCCCACACCGACTTCATCAAAAATACTTCTTTGACTAGAAAGTATTTTTTTTCTAGTTTTTCACTTCCTTGAATATATTTTGAAATAATTGAGTGAAACCACAATTTTTCTTTCTCAATTCATCATTTTAATTTTTTTACTTATCAAGTGATGATACATCAAGAGACTAGTTTCTCAATAAGACATTTTCATTCTCATTCGATAAAAAAATCAATGTCTTTTTACGATCTCTATATTTTGTGGTGAGAGCAAGTAAGTTATCATGTAGTTCGCTCATAGCATCATTTCATCTTACAATATATTTTCATTTTCATTGGATAAAAGGTGTACCTCACTTTTGTCTTCCAATGTTATCAAATATATGTTGGAAATATCATTCTTGTGCTATTTAACTTCTTGTCTTTTCAAATCCTCCTCATATGTCATGAGAGAAACAAGAAGTTCCTCTAATGGTACATTCTTGAGATTGTTTGATTCTTGAATTTCATTCACCTTTGCTTCCCAGAGCAAAGATCTCATTAGAGTAAGATTCACCATGAGATTTCAAAGCATTCATAGTATAAGTAAATCTAGTTGACAATTGATTTGTGCTCTTTGATTTGATTTGATATGAATAAATATATCCACTTTTGACTCTTTGATTTCATTTGTGCTCTCATGAGTGACTTCAAGTGTGTTGTATTTTTTGTGTCATCTCACATGTAGAAATCATATCAAATGCATTTTTATCCAAAGCACAATATAAAAGATGCATAGCTCTAACATTCAAAGAGTAGAATTGTTTATCTTCTTCACTCCATTCTTTCTTTGGCTTAGTTGATGCTATGTAGCCATCTTCTATTATATCCCGTACTTCATTATCTAAAAACATCGTATAAATTATCATTCTAGCCTTCCCATATTTATAGTCACTTCCATCAAACAAAAGATGTCCAAAAATAACTTGTCCCTCAATTAAACTACTTTTTATGGTTTTCATGATCTTTAAATCTAAAGTTGTTCCATAATATAGATAGAGCCCTTGCCCTGATTCTAATTATTAGCTCAAATGCAACCTAAGAGGGAGGTGATTTAGGTTGTGAGTTAATGGTTAATCTTTAGTTTCATGCAATGTGAATAATTATGTGAGGAGAAAGATACTGCATATGATAGGCAATGTAATATGGATGATGAAATATGATAAATAATTATTTGATGAAGAAGGTAATGTTTATGATAAGTAGTGTATGGCGAGTGATGCAAATAGGTAGGGAAGAAGAAGAACAAACAAGATTTAGAGAGGTTCGGCCCCAACAATGATGGCATATGTTCTTTCCTCCCCTCCTCCTTGGAGCTTCTCTTTCACTATCTTGATCTCCTTCAATGGTGAAGATCAAAAACCTCACAAGTTTCGTCTTCTTTAGTAGGTTAAGACACACCTTTACAATCTAAATCTCAATAGATACAATTTCAAACTCATTCAATATAGCAATGTTCTCATCTCTTTACAATCAAGAATCACTCCAACAAACTCAAAGAGAGAGAAAATTGCAATAGGCCTTGTAGCCAAAATCTCACAATAATGATCTTTCCTTGATATGCAAATCATCCTTTGAATACTCAAAAAGTCTTGCTTCTTCAAGCCTCACAATCAATTTTTATAATGGAAGAAAATAGACCCAGAAACGAGGCCAAAACTAGCTATTAGAGTGCACCAACATTCAACATGCCAAATGTCTATCCGGTTGACCAAATCAATTCTAGAATGTTTTTTTATGTCTTTCGGATGGCTATCCGAAATTCTATAAAGTCTTCTGGATCCCCCATCTAGTAGGCTAGATCCCTCATCCAAAATACCCATCTAGTATGTCGGATCTCTCATCTGGTAGACTGGATCTTTACACTACCCTCTCTATTTTAAAGGTGATATGACCCCTAAAACGTTTGAATCTGACGATGCCTATTTCAGACAAAGTTATAGCCATTTAAGCATAAATTTCAACCCCATTTGAATCAAGTCATTTGGATAGTTGATTAAAATGTTATTTCAAAAATACCAAGCACACATCTAATTTTCATGACTGTTGGCATCCATGCATCACCCTCAACTTCCATGCTATTTTTCACCTCGAAGACATTCAAATATGAAAATTATTGTTTCACACCAAATTGTAGATATTGAAGGCTTATCTCTAGCCCCACTTGAATCAAATTAATTAGACATCTATGTCAAAAGTTATTCCCACATTACAGAGGCCAAGTCAAATTAGCTAATTTGAGCATTCTTCCTTATTGGCTTGTTTCTGTCACTTCTTTGCCTTAATCCTTCAACTCTTATTCTCAACTAACATAATTACTTTCTTAATTTGAATAAAGATCATATAAAAATGATCATTAACCTCTTCAAGATCTCATCTTATAACAATCAAACCGGATGAAGTTGTTATTAAGCTTCTCATGCTCAAATTTTCTTATCTCCACTTAATCACTTTAAAGCAATACTCATGCTCGTCACTTATTTGCATCTTCTTATCTTCAATCAACCTATATTGGTGATGCTCATGCTCTTCATTTCTTTGCATCTTCACTCATCCAATTTAACATTAATCTTATGCACATCTTCGCCTTTGGTTATTTATATCTGGTGGAGCACATTGTGTGTCAAACCACATCTTGTGTCAAGCCTATACAACACTTTCAATCAGACTCACAAGAAGATAATTAGTGATAAAACATTATTCGTCATTATCAAAAATTTGCTTAACCAAGCTTAGGATCAATATAGACAACATTCTATCATGTTTTTCAATGTTTAAGGATAGTCTTTTAAAAAGTTCATTCGATTCAAGAAGATCTTTATCAAGTTTGACAATTTTCAACTCGAGAATCTTCTTAGGCTCTACAAGCCCATGACACTCTATCTCAAGGAAGTTAACTCTATCAAGAAGAGATTTCTTCTCTTCCTTAAGGCCACAAGTTTGAGCTTTGGACGTCACTAAGCCTATATGTAGTGCATTTCGATCTTCTTTGAGTTTATCCGGCCACTCAAGGCAAGACTTTATGTTGTTGTTTAAGGAATTTCTCATGCAATTGATCATATACATCATGTATATCCTCAAAAGTCTCTTCATTCTCCTCACTTGTGGGGGCTTCATTTTCTCTTTGTCTTTGCAATTCATGTTGAGATGGGTCCCCTTGACAAAAGCGCTCTAAATAAGGCTCTAGAGACAATGAAGGAGCCTACTCAAGTTGGGGATCCTAGGCCTTCGAAGAGGCAGAGGTGCTTGGTTAAATGCCTTAAGAAGCCTAGTTAAACTGTTCAAGAAGCCATTATGTTTGACCCTTCTAAAGTTGGTGTGTTTGATCCTCCTTTGCAAAAAGAAAAACCTATTGCGGAGACTACACGTGCTAAGAATCTGGGTGTTTCTAAAATGACCCAACCTGAAGAGCTCGGGACTGCGTTTGAAAAAGCCTCTGAAGTTTCTGAGATCGTCGCTATGGGGGTTCAAGGGTGTGTTCATGCCAATTTGAGCCAACTTGTGGAGGAGCAAAACTTGCTACACAATCCTACCATGGCAGATCGGGGGCTCTTGTCGTTGTTGTTCAAGGCTAACTATTATACCTTCAAATATGAAAACCCAAGCACAGGTTGTGCAAAGTAATATATACTTGAAAGACCGAGGTCGAATCCTCAGGGAATTGTGAAAACAGCAAAAATCATACTAAATTCAATAACAAACTTGTGAAGATGTTTTGTTTCAAAAGAGTATTCAAAATGATAAAACTGATTAAAATGATTAAAATAATATGAAAAATACTAGAGCATCTGGTATACCCTCTCAAATCCATACAATAATGATTAAAGACTTAGTTTTCAAACCTAGACAAGAATCAAGTGTCAATTGACTCAAGTCATCAAATTTAGCAATAACAACAAGAAAACACCTTTGTTTATAACCGAAAGTTTATCAAAGAAAATCAATGAACTGGTTGCCCGCCATAAACATTTACTGTGCCCGGAGTCTACAATAAATCAAACTCTCCTAACAATCAAATTCATAACTTACCCAAATGGTCCTCCAATTATATTATTATGTGAAATAAATTGTAATTAACTTAAGCATGGAATAACTAGTTATTTGTCTTGCATGGAAATTCAAGCAATCAAAGTATAAAATACAATGACTCGAGAATTTTTCCATAGCAAAAAATTTTCTAAGAATCAAAATTTAAAATTAACAAAATATCACATATCATTAAACTCATAAGTCAATAACATTACCGTACTTCATTGAGAGGTTCTCCCCTAACTCTAGTTAAACCTCTTAGCTAGACATGATGAAAATAAAACCAAAGGAAAAATAAATAAAAATAAACACTATAGCCAAAAGGTATCTTCTACACTACAATCCTCTCCTATATATAGCATTATTTGGGAAAAGATCCAATTAACATTAAACTCTGTTGCTGCCGACACGCGTTTGAACGCGTGTTCTTAGCCATCCAAACTCACTTTCCAGTGTGTTTCAACTCTTCTGTCTGGATGCAAGGCATTCCACCATCCAAACGTGCCTTCCAGTAAGCTCCTCTTTAGCTACTCTTCTCCTTTCACTTTATTTCTTCTAATTTTAAGCATTTCCCTACAAAATAAACACACTTCTTCCATTACTAACAGAACATCAATTCTTTACTATATTATCACATTTACCAACTTTTTCCAACCAAATATTTAGTCTTTTCATCAAATAATTACATTATGAGACCATAATTACACTCCCAACCCAAACCTTGCTAGTCCCTAGTAAGTTAAACAAAAATAAAACAAAACCATTAACAAAGACAAAACCACTTTCATATGATTTATGATTATATTTACTCTATGCAACAAGCCTTTAAACCCCTAGGTTCCCCCTAGTGGACGATTATAGTCTCGTGAGGGTTTTCAGAGATGATACTCACAAATATTACCATGGGATCAAATATCTGAATAATAATTTTATAATATGTTGGATATAAGAAAGAAAATTTTATTTCAAAGGCTCAATCACGACTTCAAGTGATAATAATAATCAAACAATAAGGCTCAGGCTCAAATAATATCAAAGATGACCCAAAACCATATCTCAAGAGCTTTTGATGACACACTTCCCATGCAAAAATTTTAAAGTCAAATAATCATTCACAATATTGGTGTTGACCAAAACAAAAAATAATGAGATTATTAATGGAGATTAGCTGAATAAAAATATTATTTATTGAATATATGTAAAAAACCCTCCAAAAAAAATTAGATCAAAACTCACCAGGGTTTTTATGCATCTCCACTATATGTTTCAAATTTTCAAGGTAAAATACCTAACAAATTTTCAACTTGGTAAAGTCTAAAGTGAACAAATTGTGTGTTTTTATAAGAACAAGATATGAAATACACAAATATAGAATAAAATTCTACGTGATGCTTAAACAGTTGCAAATTTAAAGTTAAGCAAATTATTTTCATATTGTGGTGTCAATTTTTGCATAAAAATGTTATTTAGATATTTAATAACACACTAGAACAAAATATTCATTTCATATTATAATAAAATTTCATACATTGCATATTTCAAAAGATAAAGAAATCAAGCCTAGACAAAAATCTACCATTTATAATAGGCTTTGATCTCCAACAAACAGACATTCTTTTTAATGACAAAAAAAAACTAACAACTCCCGGGACCTAGAAGAAACATATCAAGATAAGGGGCCTACACGACTTGGAGAACTTTGGCCTAGCCCCCTTATATGAGCCCTCAGCTCTCTCATCTCCTTCTGCTCCCTTAAAAACTCCAACAACAACTACCTATCTATCCTGGGATCAGTATCCTCATCCACTCGTAAATCAAAATCCTCGTCCAAATTGAGGAACTGATCCCACTGCTCTACAAGTATTGTCTCCTCAGCTGCAGCCTCTCCCTACTACTCAACGGCCTGCCCCCACTCTCCTGTAGGCCTAATCACACTCTAACTTTTCAGAAGAGAGCCAGAGTTAAGCACAACTACCTTCGTGGACCTCTCTATGGTGGCGTCGATAACCACCCTTGCCTACTTACAAAGCGCAGTGGTCAAGCCAGAAAAAGGGAGAGACCACTTTTTTAGGTCTACAATGGATTGTTGTATCTCGACGAAAATTAGTGAAGGAAGGTCGATAGACTATCTGGTACCCAGGGTGTAGAGAAGTCAAGCTCGGTTGGGGTAGATGTAATTGTTCCTCAACAAGGTAGAAATATTTGATACTGAAATTAGGTTCAATACCTTATACTTGTTTGTCAAGTTGCCCTACTGAAGGAACCTAAAATCAACAATCCAAACAAAATCTTTATCCGCAAGCAACTCTCTCACAACCACATCTCTTGAATAGTTCAGGGGGCAATCTGGGTTGGCCACAAGGGCCTGAAGCATCTTTGTCAGTCTGGTGATGGCTGTGGCATCAACTCTAATATGCTTACCCTGAACATAAGTGTAAAAAATGCCATTGCCACAGTCATCCGCATTGCTACAGAACTTGTGAGCTAGCACAGGTATGCACGGCCACTCCCGGCCCATAAAATTGGCCCACCTCCTAGAAAATATGATGTCCTAGGCCCCTATTCTAGCAAAGTCTTCATACTCTATCTGTCTCTCGAACAAAAAGGGCTTGGTTGCGTAGTGTTTAAAAAATCTTACTCGTGCTTCTAGAGTCTCGAAATAGATAGGGTCAAAAGTAGTGTCTTCCTCTTGAGGCTCTTGTGTCCCAATGCGAGGCCTTTTGGAAGTCGAAGCCCATGGAGGTGCCATGGAGTAGGAGACAAGGCATGATTTTTGAAATAGGGGGGAAGAGTTTTTTTTTTTTTTTTTTGAACTAGAATAGTTGAGGAAAGAATGAAAAAAAAAACATTTAGGACCCTTCTATTTATAATTTTTCACACGCGTCCGGACGCATGGGTTTCAACTGTCTAAACGCGCCTCAACTACCGCCTTTATTAGCCTCAAAGAGCACGCGTCCGAATGCATGGTCAATTTGCGTTCTGATACGCCTATGAATTTTGAACTGTTTGGTCTTTGCGTCCGGACGCATGATGAAGTCACGTCCGGACGTGTGTTCTAGTGAACTCAGGTCCTTAAGCTCATGTCCGGACGCATGTTCCAGAGGTTTTTGCTCTATGCTATACGCGTTCGGATGCGTGATCCAGAGGACTCCTTTCTCCATACTTAGAAAAAATGTTCAATTTTAGCAATTTCCCCCCCCCCCCCTAAACTAGCAAAACTTAACCTACAAAACTCCTAAAAAACCTAAATTAAATTATTATTTTTTTTTAAAAAAATTAATGATAAATAAATTAACAACAAAATGTTGTAGATGCACGTGCACTATGTATGATCAATAAAACAAGCATGCTCACCCCTCATTCAAAAATTAATATTGTCCCCAATGTATTAATAAACAATACAAGTACAATTAAGAGTAAATAAGGACATACCAGAGGTGCTATATTGTGCACGTGTATCTGCAATATCTCATAAAATAGAAGAGAAAAACAACATTCAACACTATATAATAATATACAAAAATTGGGTTGAATGTTAGAGATGAATTATTCATAGTGGGGATCCACCAACCCGATGGATTCCACTTATACTATACCTCCTTCCAAGAATGGTTTCAATCTTTTTCCATTAACTTTAAAAGTGTTCCAATTCTTGGGATTTTCTATCTCCACCGTACTATACGGAAAATCTTCTTTAACGATATATGGGCCACTCCATCTGGTTTGAAGTTTTTCTTTGAATAGATGTAATCTACAATTATACAAAAGAATCATTTGTGAAGGTTTCAAAGTTTTTCGCAAAATATTTTTATCATGGAACACTTTCATTCATTCTTTGCTAATTCCAGAGTTCTCAGAAGCCTCATTTTGGATTTTCTCAAGCTCATTTAGCTGTAATTTTCGTTGGGCGCTGGGTTTGTCAAGACTAAAATTAAACATTATAATGTCTTAGTATGCTTTATGTTCCAACTCCACATGTAAGTGACAAGCTTTTTCATACACCAATATATACGGAGATATGTCAATCAAGGTTTTGTAAACAGTACGATATGCCTATAACGCATCAGTTAGTTGTAAAGACCAATCTTTACGATCAGGGTTAACCGTTTTTTTCTAAAATATAAGAAATCTCTCAATTGGCTAGCTCTGCTTGAACACTTGTCTGTGGGTGATAGGGGGTTGCAACTTTATGTGTTATACTGTATTTTTTCATTAAAGCTTCAAAAGATTTATTACAAAAATGCAGTCCCCCATCACTAATAATGGATCGAGGTATACCAAATCTAGACAAAATATTTTCTTTTAAAAATTTCAAAATAACTTTATGATCATTTGTCTGATATAGTACAGCCTCGACCATTTAGAAACATAATCTACCGCCACTAAAATATACATGTGTCCAAAAGATAGGGGAAAAGGTCTCATGAAATCAATGTCCCAATAATAAAACATTTCTATTATCAAAATCGAATTAAGAGGCATCATATTTCTACGGATTAATCCCCCTAGTCTTTGACAACGCTCGCAAACCTTACTGAAATTATAGGCATCTTTAAAAATTGTTGGCCAATAAAATTCACA